TTTCGATGAAGATCATGATACTTATCATTACAGAAACCAATCTTGAATCGTACACCAGGTTCATCAACAATACACTCGTTCCAAGAAGGAGTTCATGGTCATCTTCTTCTTCTTCAGGTTCGCTCATCACCCGGAATGAAGGCTCGGTGCGGTTAGTAATATCAAACAGTGTTACATGCAAACGAAAAAGAGATACAACCAGGATTAGTTTTTTTAAAGTAATAGTCATCTGAATACCCAACTAACCATATCTCAGTGACATTTTTTCACTTTGAACCTACATTAAAAGTTGTTTAGTGCTTATATGGTTACTTTGGTACTCGCATGAAATGTTGTGCAAGTACCACATGTTCAACAACGCCCAACTATGGACAGCTCAATGTTAATACCATTTCCTTTTTGAATCAGCGTACACCAACATGATAATCTTCTAAGAAACACCTAAGAATGTATAGAGATAAAGCTCAAAATACAAAAATACATTTCTAAATTTTTCAACGTTATCCTAACGTAAACTTAATATTTTCGTCCATATACCCGTTCACGTCCGAAACCCATCCACCACATAAAATCAAATAAAAATGTTTCTGTACGACAAACACGTCCAGACATCGAAAATTCCTCGCATTTTACTCAGGAACTTTTGATCAAACTGCAATCACTCTCTCATACTCGAAACGTACCACGACCAAATTGACACAACGACGCCATATACGACTATACGCTATCTGACCAAAGCGCAGGGACCAAGGACTTCCTGTAAAAAGCTCCAAAACAATTCTGATGAAATCCAAGTTCATCTCAATCGGATAATTGTTGTATAGGGATTCTAAGGTAAACTCTAATACGGAGGATAGTTTCTTGCGAATCTCGAAGAATAGCAAAAAACAAACTGAAAGCATTCCACATGTGGCCCTCGGGCCGTTGGATGAGCTCCAGAGGGCCTAAAGTGATAATGGGTAATTGATACTAACTAATGTTTTTCGAACGAGATCTTTGATAAGATTAAAATATACGGGTTTTGGCGTAATCGACAAACTTAACTCACCTTTTGGGACTTCTATTTTGAGAAACAAGATGAAATTAACAAACATACAGGGTGACTGGTAATTCGTGTTACACCCGAAAGGAGGTGAAAGTAGACCACATTTGCAGCAAAAAATTATAGAAAACAGCAAACAAGGTTATCTTCCATTTAATTCCACTTAATTAATTTTGGTATCTATGACAGATACGTATTTCGACTACAATGTGCAGCCTTCATCAGTGTCATTCCCACTAAAGGATTATCAATAAGAAGAATGTCAAGATCACAGATGAGTACTCCCCCTTAGATGTTGATAATCCTTTAGTGGGAATGACACTGATAAAGAATTCACATTGAAGTCGAAATACGTATCAGTCATATATACCAAAATTTTTTGAGTGGAAATAGGTGGAAGATAACCTTTTTCGCTGTTTTATTTAAGCATTCCGCTAGCAACCCAATTTCATTACTTCAGCAAAAAATTGTTTAGCAAGGTAGGTCGAAAAATCATTCCTTACCAAGTTATTGAACAATTATTTTTCTACAGATTCAAAGTGCCTCATTTTGCTCGGGAATTCAAAAGTACCTCCACTTACGTTTCTATTAATTTTAAATAAATGTGACATTAAACGGTTAGAACCTTATCAAATCCATCCCAAAGTAAGTCTGTATTCTCTCAGATATCGCTTAAAGACGCTTGCTAGACTTATTCAATTCCTTACTAGAAAACAACATTATACCGCCTGAATGGAGACAGGTCAAAGTAAAAGCCATTCGAAAACCGGGCAAACCAGCGTCTGACCATAACTCATACCGTCCGATTGCTATGCTTTCGTGCATTAGGAAATTGTTGGAGAAAATGATCCTTCTGAGACTCGATCAGTGGGTCGAAACAAATAACTTGCTATCAAATACACAGTTTGGGTTCCGCAAGAGCAAAGGAACAAACGATTGTCTAGCGCTGCTTTCCACAGATATTCAACTGGCATTTGCACACAAGGAGCTATTGGCTTCAGTATTCTTGGACATTAAGGGGGCTTTTGATTCAGTTTCCATTGAAATTCTGTCAGACAATCTGCACAGATGTGGACTTTCCGGAATTTTAAATAATTTCTTGTACAATTTGTTGTCAGAAAAGCAAATGAACTTTTACCTTGGAACATCCAGAATTAGCTATATGGGCCTGCCTCAAGGCTCATGTCTCAGCCCTCTTCTTTATAACTTTTATGTCAAAGATATCGACAACTGTTTGGCAGAACAATGCACGCTAAGACAACTTGCAGATGACGGTGTGGTTTCCGTAAGAGGTCCACATGCCGTGGACTTGCAAGGACCATTGCAAAGTTCCTTAGATAACTTATCTTCTTGGGCTAGGAATCTAGGGATCCAATTCTCGCCGCAGAAAACTAAACTGGTAGTGTTTACTCGAAAGTGTGCATAACATGAGTCTCGAGGTTCTGGCAGGAGTAACACCCCTCCAGAACCGTTTCTGGGAGCTCTCTCTCAGAATACTAATCAAATGCGGAGTGACGAACACACTTATAATTGAAAATTTTGAAGAAATTTTTGGGCTGAATACACAATCTCGATTTATGAGAATCTACCACCACTACATATCGTCAGATATGTGTCTTCCTTGTTACACTCCAGACCGTGCTCACTTCACCAATCGCAGTTCCTCAATTGAATATGATCTGACCATGAAACAAGCAACTCATGGGATTCCCGATCAACTTCGACCTATTATTATTCCGCGTATTTTTACTGAAAAGTACCAACAAGTCAATTGCATGAAAAGATATTTTACAGACGGGTCCCGTCTCAATGGATCCACTGGCTTCGGTGTCTTCAATGAAAACTCTAGCGCCTTCCGCAAACTTCAGGAACCTTGTTCCGTTTTTGTTGCTGAGCTGGCAGCAATCAACTTCGCATTGGGGATGATTTCCAACATGCCCGCAGACCATAACTTCATCTTCACGGATAGTCTCAGTTCGATTGAGGCTATTCGGTCGATGAAACAAGGTAGGCACTCATCTTATTTCCTTTCAAAGGTAAGGGAGCAGATGTGTGTGCTGGTCGAAAGATCATTTTGTATGGGTCCCCTCACATTGCTCAATCCCAGGCAATGAGAAGGCGGACTCTCTCGCAAAGGTGGGCGCGCAGGAAGGCGAATTTTATGACAGGCAAATTTCACACGATGAATTTTACCATTTAGTGCGTCAGAGTACCCTTTCGAGTTGGAAAACCGATTGGGACAATGGAAATCTTGGACGGTGGTTACATTCAATTATTCCTAATGTTTCTTCGAGAGCGTGGTTTAAAGGCTTGGGCTTAAGTCGTGACTTTATTCGCGTGATGAGTAGACTTATGTCCAACCACTACTCGCTAGATGCTCATCTCAATAGACTAAATCTCGTGGACAGCAACATATGTCGGTGTGGAAACGGTTACGACGACATCGATCACGCAGTTTGGCAATGTACGGATAATGACGCCGCTAGAGAGCGACTTTTGAATACCCTCGAGGACCAAGGAAGACAACCCTATATCCCTATCAGAGACGTGTTGGGTACCCGCGATCTCTGCTACATGCAGTCGATTTATGTGTTTCTGCAAATGTCTAGTATAAGAATTTAATTCGTTTGTCTTTTGTATCTCTTTATTAGTTTTTGTTTGTCTTGTCCCCCGTCTCGATGAGCCTCATCGTCGCCCACTGGTCACAATAGCCGGTCGAACTCCAGACGAATCTAGAACCACACTACCGTTCATACTGGCGAAAACGCTCTGATGAGACAACGATACCCTACTCCCAAGCTCCTCCCCTTTTCCTATCCTTCGACAATGTACCCCTCCAACCTCGAGTAAGCCGCGAGTATCCGGCCCAACTTCTACTAGACATAGAATTAAGTGAATTTTGTTACAAACAAAGAACAATGAATTATCGGCTCCGTAAAGCTAACGCGATTGAGCCTTACAAATAAACGAACTAGATAAAAAAAAAGTAAGTCTGTGGCGCCAATTTAATAGAGGGTATAGTAAACAAAGATTGATCATAGTAGCCAAGCAATGCTTACTCCTTGGTGAGCTTTGGTAATATTTGCGAGTGCCCGAGCAAAAGGTGGTAGTGTTGCTCGGCAATGTAAAATAAATAGATAATAGATAAATAGATAATTCAGTAAGGAATGATTTTTGGACCTACCTTGCAGTACAATTTTTTGCTGCAAATGTGGTCTACTGTCACCTCCTTTCGGGTGTAACACGAACTACCAGTCACCCTGTATATTACAAGCTATGGAGCAGAAGTTCCGGTAGCGTCAATTGCTGCGTTAAAAGAGGTTTAACCTCGTGACAACTTATACCACCCTTCAAAAGCCATGTGGGTATCTCCAAGAAGTCCTATAAACTGCTCTGAAAGTTCTATAGACTCCTCCGCTAAGTACTATGCATACATACTTCCAAGAAGTCCTAAAAACTTTCCCTGAGAACTCCCAGGTTGACGACATATCATCAAACCTTTAATTTGATGTTTGCTCTATGTCGGAGAAATACCGATCAAGGTTTATTTTGGCTTGATCTACATAATTTAGCTTGGTCCAAATGATGCATAAATTCGCAATAAAAGATGCCCTAAGAACTTTACAAAATTCAAATCTGCAAACGAGAGATTTTGCTGACCCTCTTAAGAATATATAATAATTGACAGCTTGTAGAAATTAAGCTATAAACATGTTATTTAAACCGAGGCATACCCGTTCAGTCCGTAAAAGTAGCACCTTTCTGGGAAGAAGTTATTAAAAACTAAATGATGACCATCAATCTTATGCCGCTTGCCAATCTTGTCTTGCCCACCAAAGCGCCATGTCATCTGATACACCGGATCGAGATTATTAGCTGTTGATTATCGAAGCGATTTCGCGCGTAATAAATGTGATACTTAGCACTTTGACGGATTACAACGCTGCGTTTTTACAGCTTAATGATTTTTATTTAAAGTGCTATTTCGTGTTCAGTTGGGATGCTAAATTTTTGGTGTCCATCTCTAATCGATATTGCTAGTATACTTATTCTATGTGTCCGCTAGGAGATCTACTTTGGGATGTGAGCTCCCTCCGGTTGGAATCCGTTTTCGTCTGCCACATAGTTGATCACGTACTGCGTTCCGTCCGGGCCTATGTAGGAATACGATCCACGCACCACTAATGCCTCCTGATCAGTTCCGGCGTTTCGCAGCTCGGCCTGCTCCTGTCGAGCTGTGCCATCACTGGTTTCGAATCTGTCAAATGAGTCAACGAGTGTACATGTTTGAATATGCGCTCCTCCAATTTCTAAAAAAAAAATCACTTACTCGAACCTATATCCATCGATACCGATATTTTCACTGTCGTACTTCAAAATTTGAGCATTTGCCGAATCGTCCGCAGGAGCTGCTAGGACAGCGGCCAACAGAGCAACGAACACAACTATCTGCAATAGAATAGAATTTGTCAAGTTTCCGCAATCCACATCACTACCGTTCCTCCATTTCAGCAATACCCGATTCATTTCTGATAACTTTAATTTGCACTAGAACCTATTCCAACCGTACACCGGAGAGCTGCTTCAATCTACTAAGCAAAAATCAGATGACATCCACTTTTATAGAAGAATCCACTGCAACGTGCGCTGCGTAAAGAAAGCAATCGAAAGATTTTTCAATTGACTCCACCCTTCTCCAAACCCCCCTCGATAATCACGCACACACACACACATAGGGTGCGGATTAACTCACTGTTACATCACGCGACAACACCTGCTGTAATTGATGCACCCTGACTGGTCTATACATCTTCCGATCCGAGGATATCGCACGTGTAAAATACACCGACTTCAGATCCACTTTCAACGAACGGCAATCAAACGGCGCATTTAATATGGCTTCAAAATGCAATCATACACGCATCCTTGAGGATGCGTGCGACGAGATGCAATTCAATTCTGGGAGACGCCTCACCTTCCCGAGTCAGATGACATGGATGCCACACTTTAGCTTTTGCACTTTCCTGTGCATCGAGGGGATGTGGAAAGCAGAGAGAGAGAGAGAGAGACAGAAACTGGTTTCATTAAACTTGACTTAAATTGAACATTACTCATGTGGCAAATCCGCCGGCTGCACGACGAAAATAAATGTATGAAGATAAGACCACACGCCGAGGATGAGTTAAGTTTGCAATATTATTGACGCTCGTGATTGAGCTGTGTCGAAACGGCGCGGGATGAGATGCCCTTTCTATAGTTGTTCGCTCGATTGTGTGCCTAATAGAGACCACACTATGGGAAGATTACACAAATTAAGTCAACGTGGCATAATGGAATTGGCGTAAGTTGGTTCCAACATGGGTTATTTCGGGATAATAATAATTCTGAAGATTACTATTTTCGAAAAAAAAAGAAAATCAAGACGTTGTCTCCCTCTTTAGAGGCGAGTGAGAATTTCAATTTGGCCTGCTCCTCTGAGGTTGCCAATTTTCAAAATACACTTAATAAATACTTGACTAATGTTGAGTTTCTACTTTTTTTTTAAATAGAATTAAATATCAATAATTTTTGAACCCTATTTCATCTCAAAATCAGACGTATTATTTTATTCTGCAAGCGCTGTAATATCGACATTTGTGTTTGATTGACCAAACATAAATTGGAGGGGAAAAATCTACACACTTAATTTTATTTGCCGAATCTCGGCAATTGTTGTGGGGAAGTCTTAACCAACTATCCGAAAGCTTCCCCACGCATAAACGCCCTGGGACCCGGAAAAATAAGTGCCCCAGGAGCTGCCGTTGGATTAAGATCATCAGCTTTGGGCTTAGGCTGGTTCCCTTCTGGGACTAAGCGGTTCAGGGGCCCTACAGCAATGGGACAGCCCTACAGCAATGGTGACGTAGGAGTACGTGGTCTTATATAATATATATTATTTATTAACTACAGCAGGAGCTGGTGATTTGTGTAGGAATAGCAAGGAATTCGAGCGGGTTTCTCTCTATTTATACTCTTTAGTATGACGCGCTTGACATGGCTCACTGCTACTTACGAAGAGCTACTGATTCCGATCAATAGCGATGCGGCTTCTTCTTCCTCTATGGATGCTCATGTGGGCTGCAGCTCGCTGCTTGCAGGCAGCCTTTCGTTTGTGTACTGGAGAACGCCATCACTCACCACGGGGTGATTGAATAAACACCGTTTGGTGAGACCGGATGGAATTCAACTTTTGACATCCGTGTTAAGGAAATCGCTTTTCGCAGACAATCTATGATAATTTTAATTATCATAGCAACAGTTGCACATTCGTGCAAAGCTTTAATTTTAACAGATTCGTAGAAAAAATCCTATCGATATAGTTTTTTAAAGTATATTCTAAAGATTTTTGACAGCAATGAATGTTTTTAAAATTTTATATTTTTTAAACAAGTAAGGATCCAAGAGTTGATTTGTTAGTAATGTGTTAAACGGAAATACAAGCATTTGCACTATTTTGTTAGTTTTGTGACCGAACTTCAGTATTTTGATTTGGGGTTACTTTGATAATGCTCCATGAATGTAGAAAAAAATGGATGAAACTCAAACAATTCGACAGTGAGCATGCATAAGGGCGAATACGCGATGATCGATATCTTCATCGATTTTCTCTTTGCATTGCTACAGCTAAGCGAAACAATTTTCAAGAATGTGTTCAATGCAGAGTAGTAACAGGCTGTATTAGCTATCAAAAGTAACACCAAACGTACCGAGAAACGTTAAATCTAGCGAGTTATTAACAAAGGAGAAAATCGACGAAGAGAATCGATCATCGCGTATAGGCCCTTATGCATGCTCACTGTCGAATTTAGTTCTTTGAATATGAAACTTTGAATGAGTACAGTTAGGTTCAAGCTCTCGCCACGACCAGACGTTCTGTAATCGAGCTCCGTGTTAAATAGTTTTCGGTTTCACTCTTTCCACACTTCGGTGTGAGAAAAATCTTAGCGTCAATTACTGACGACAATCTCGCTGTCCGCATATCGTATGCACTACCCTGCGACAATGACATCTGTGAGAACTCATTAAAATACCTTCAAGGTACTCCTATCCACCTTCCCAAAGCGTCCATGGTTCGAAGAACTACACTTGTTTGTGTATCAAACTCTCGGGTTACGACTCGACCAACCACGCACAAAACTGCGTGAATGTCAAGTGCATTGACCTAAAAACAGCCCAGGACACGGTGATTCATCATGACGAACGACATGAGCCGGAGGTGAACAAAAAGCTGTACAAGGTGCGACTTCAGATGGATGATGGGGGTGTGGAAATTAAAGTCCATGACCTGTCTGAAAACGTGACGAAGTACGAAATGATTGCTGCCTTTTAAAGCAGTTCGGCGATGTATTGAGCACCAAAGAGCAAAGCTGGAGCGAAAACTTTGTCGGCAAAGGGACCGCTTCAGGAGTTTGGGTCGTCAAGATGAACTTGCGGTGACACATCAGATCATTCATCACCATCCAAGGAGAACAAACTTTGGTGACTTATCGAAACCAGCCTCAAACGTGTCGACATTGCCAGAATCAGTCTCATCCAGGCAGTACATGCGTCGAAAAAAAAAAAAAAAAACTGCTGGGACAAAAAGTTAACCTCAAAAGCCACTTGAAACGAGCGCAAGCATCAAACGGTCCAGGTCCAAGCACACAAGGAGCAATCACTGGCTCATCACTGGCCACTTTTGCAGCTGTGTTGAACAAAGAAGCTCCACTGGTTCCAACACCTCCGTTCCCGGGGTTCTTCTCCACCAACGAGACGTATACAATAGGCAACACGCTCGAACGACCAAGCCAGCAAATTGTCTCCTCCGTTTCACCAGATACCCCCTCATGGCCCCATCGACCAGCATCACAATCATTCCAACAACTACGAGTGCCGTAGAAACAACCGAGCACGATCACGAAATGGATCAAAACGGAATGGGGAAAACCAACCCCAACGAAACAACCGTGGACCAACAACAGGAGACGATAACTGGAGAGCGATACACCCAACAGCTGCCAAATGCTGAGGGGATCAGCAATGTTCAACAAAACGTCGAAAAACTGCTAGCTCTGGTGATGTAACTTACTTACTTAAGGGTCCTGTGCACCACCAGCGGTGCAAAGGGCCAACGTGAAAGACTTCCAGCCTGGGCGGCTGCTAGCTTTTGCCTTGACCTGGGCCCAGGTCAGATTCCTATCGACTTTCTTAATTTCCTTATTGAGGCTCCTCTGACATGAGCCCCTGGGTCTGCCTCTGCTGCGATGTCCTGCCGGATTCCAAGCCAGCGCTTGCTTGCAGATTTCTTTTCCGCCCCGTCGAAGTGTGTGGCCGACCCACCTCCACTTTCGCTCTCGAATTTCTGTTGCTATCGGCTTCTGATGACATCGACGATGGAGCTCGGCATTCGAGATCCAGTTGTGAGGCCACCAGGCACGAATTATATACCGCAGGCATCGGTTGATGAACACCTGCAACTTTTGAGTGTTCTCCGCTGATACACACCACGTCTCGCTGGCGTATAACAACACTGGTTTCACGTTCGAGTTGAAAATTCGGATTTTGGTGCGTTGACTTATCTGGTTGGATCTCCATACGTTTCGTAAACTCGCAAAGGCAGCCCTAGCCTTCTTGATTCGTGCACCTATGTCGCTCTTGGTCCCGCCGTCCAACGCTATTTGGCTGCCAAGATATTGGAAACTTTCGACCTTCTCCACTGCTTGCCCCGCTACAGGTAAAGTTGGAAGGGTTGCCCGTGTTGATATCCAACGATTTTGTCTTGTTGACGTTGATGGTGAGACCCGCCGCAGAGGAGCGTTCGGCTAGGTCATTGAGCTTACTCTGCATATCAGATCGCCGTTGTGCTAGTAGAGCAACATCATCAGCCAAATCGAAGTAGTTGAGATGCTCCATGGTGATAGGCTGCCAAAGCAACCGGTCAATTGCACCTACCATGATCTCGTCGATTACGATAAGAAACAGTAGCGGTGATAGTATACATCCTTGTCTCACACCAGCGACTACCCGGAAAGGGTTGGACAAGCCTCCGTTATGCAGAACTCTGCACGTGAAAGCCTCATACTGCGCTTCGATGAGGTTGACGATTTTATCCGGGACTCCCTTGCGTCTCAGGGTGCCCCACAGATTCTCGTGATTGAGACGGTCGAAAGCTTTTTCGTAGTCAATGAATACCAAATAAAGGGACTCTTGGAATTCATTGACCTGCTCCAGGATGATGCGGAGCGTGACAATATGGTCCACACAAGATCTTCCGGCACGGAATCCTGCCTGCTGCCGTCGGAGAGTCGCGTCGATCTTCTCCTGTATCCGATTCAGGATAACTTTGCACAGAACTTTGAGAACAATACACAGTAACATGATGCCTCACCAATTGTCGCACACAGTCAGATCCCCCTGCATCCAGTCGGCCGGAAAAATCGCGGTGTCCCAGATATTACAGAATAGTTGATGCAACATTTGTGCGGATAGCATGGGGTCAGCTTTGAGCATCTCCGCTGATATGCGATCGACCCCTGGAGCCTTGTTGGATTTTATGCTTCGGATAGCTGCTTCAATCTCCTGCAGTGATGGGGCCTTGGAATTGACGCGAGTGATGCGCCGCACCC